ATACTATCAACCTCAAAAAATATTTCAAGCTAAATATTTTTTCAACGTACTTTGATACGCAGTACTAAACGAAAATCCAAAGTATAAGAAGAACTAAAAAATAAATGCCTTGAAAGTCTGAGGTTCCAATTGCGTAAACATTTATTTGTATGATTTAATTTTCGAAAAATAATATGGCTAGCCTCTCTTAAACTTTCATATGTTATAGAGAATTGTAAATTAAAATAGGTTTTTTTATTTTACAAATATTAGATGTGAAATCTTTTTTTCTTCTCTATTTCCCCTTAATTTCTAAGACCTTATTTAAGAAGTTAGTAAGTATAAGTATATAGCGAGAAAGACTCGTTGCTTTCTTTCGCTATGATATACGCGGGTATATATAGTTATATAGCTGTAGTCGGCATTTCCATGCACACCACTCCTCTCTCCGTAGGCACATATTCAGTATACCCCTTCCACGCGTCTCCGAAGTATGTGCCTACATGCCCATTTCCACGCGAATCTGTAGGCACACACTCGGTATACCCCCTCCACGCTTCTCAAATAAAAAAAAAAAATATGTGTGCCTGGTTCGACCGCTTGGCCGCGACGGGGCGCTCGAAACAGTGGCCAAAAGTGAACTCGCGCCGTAGCATTGCAGTCAGCAATCTCTCTGCTAATCTCTGGCGACGACTTCGCAATTTACCCACTCAGTCGACCCAAGCTCTTAGTCTAAAAGCGTTGACACACTTTGTATATAAATATATGCAGCTGTGCAGTTATCGTTCATCTGCATTGAATATATCAAGTTTACAGATTATCTATTGAATATATCAAATTTACAGATTATTTATTCTCATTGTTGTCATTGTAAGGCCATCGAATGGTGAGTACTAAAATAGGTTCTATTAAGTTTATAAAAATTATGTTCACTCTTGCAGCTGAGTATGGTATACAAATTGATATAAACAGAGGCTGTAGTGATATCAGAATTAAAAGCGACTGCCATCATTTAAAGTTGAGGGGCCTTGGGGGAGTTGATACTCAGCCTTTGTTTAGAATTAGTGACTTGTAGAAGTACAATAAATTTTTTTTACATAAAAATAGTAGTCAGCCTAAAATTCACCTTTCTCATTTTTCGGCATGACTGCTCCACAGCAGTACCTAACATTTTTGATAGAGCAAAAAGTATAACTGTGCCTTCATGGTTTATTTTTATTGTGAAACAAATTTCATTCACATTAGAGGAAAGATATATCTATTGCTCAAATGTAAGTTAAAGCCATAGAGACATTAGGGTTTCTAATACCTATGGTTAAAGCTAAGGCCCTGGTGTGGTCAAAAATCAATACCAGCCACCACTGGCCGAATATAAAGTATTCTCAGTGTAGGATCCATTCCGGACCCAGATGTACTAGATCTGGGCTGGGTCTCTAATAGATCCAGTCTGGATCTATTTTATGCACAGTTTTGGATCCGTAATGGATTTATTTACTTGACCTCCAGGTAATGGTTCTTATACTCATCCAGTTCGGATCAGGCACACGATGATTGAGGTTAAAGTTTATGTCAATTGTTGCGTGTGCTAATTAGGTCTTCTATAATTATGTATGTTTTAAAAATAAATTTCAGTTTAAAAAACAAACGAGTCGGCAATATTTTATGAACATACACACATATAGTTTATTTAATGTGTAACTTAGAGATAAACGCTATAATTATACTGACTTATTTATAAATTGTCATTTCGCAAAAATTTTTATACAAACATAATTGTTATTAGGTATTTGATTTCAATTATTAGGTATTATAAGTAGTCAAGCCCTAAACAACACATAGTCGTAATCAGTCATGTAGCAACACTTTACAATGTAATACTTGATCATTTTAAAATTATTCTTGCTCCTGGTTTTCAACCGTTTCGTTAATTTCATTAACTTTTCGCTTCTCCGATCCATCACTCCAATATCCAGCATTGTTGATGAGAGAACTTATAACTGATCTTAGGATCACGTTATCAGGAGCCTCTTTCGTCACAGAAAAAGATTTAATAGTAAAAAATTCTGCAACATAAATAAAGTACAAATATTCACATCAGTATGTAGTAAAATTGTTTAATGTAAAATAATAAATACCTTTAAAAACTTTTTAGAACTCAGTTTCAAAAAAATGGGCATATTATCTTTTTTTTTGTGCTGTGTAAGCCCTACTGTTTTAGTAATCAAATGTTTAAAAATTTTAGTTGTAAGTGTAAGAACATCTCTATGATGTACCACTTTGTCTGAAATTACAATACTAGCTTTGAAATGAGATGACGGTAGAGAAGTTTCTTGTTAGAAAACTATATGCAAGCACATGAAACAAATATCGGATCTTGAGAATACATTTAACGAGTACTAACCAGATCAGCTCTAAGAGCGTTATCTTCCTCAAGTCTATTGTTAAAAGCTTCAAATTCATTCAGTGACTCCAGTGGTAATCGATATCCGTGCTTTTTAGAAAAAGATGTTACTGTTACAATATCCTCGACGTGAACATTGTTTTGTTGATGTAAAGCTATTTGAAGATTCTCAACAACTAGTATAAGATCGTTTATTTTTGTGTCAAGTGAATTAACTTTGATGCTGATTTTGTCCAATTTATCTGAAACAGGGAATTTTTATAAATGATCAATTAAAGAGTATTTAATAAAATTCAATAAACAAACGTCTTGGTACCGTTCTGCATGTTAATAGCTTTTTTCTGAGATTATTGGATATCTGCTATGTTATAAAAAATAATTAATAAAGCAGNGTTTTGTATTGAAAGAGGCACTTGGTATTATTATAGTTTGCTATTAAAAAAAATACTGTATTACATACCACTATATCACGTTATTGTTAAAGTCATGATTCTTTTTTCGATATGTACGAAACACATCAAACTCGCCTAACATTTTACTTTAAAACAAAGTTAGTTTTTTTATGGGGATCGAATTTACACCAATTTTGATCTGCAACGCTATACATTATATATCATACTGTAATTTACATGCACATAAATATAATACGTAACATTTTGCATCCATACGTAGAATGATCATAATTATTATTTAGGCAAATCAAGTGTGGTAATAAAAAATTGAAGACGTTCAAAAGGAGCTAGGCTTTTTTTGACATTTTAGTTGGTTTACCCACTACGTCGATGCATATGGTAATAGATTCAGCTGATCTGTAACACATGGTAACTGTTTCCTACAGCACCGACCCACACGGTAACGACAGTTTCTGCTTCCGGCGGTACACTACCTTCAACGCTAACGCCACCTGCCTTATGGGGTACCTAACTAAATTTATGTGCCTCAAAAGTTGGAAACAAGAAAAGGCATAGAGATATTAGCACAGCACAGAGTGAACAAGGGGTACTGCTTTACGTAAGTGGAAATTTAACGATATAGAGCCAACAAGAGAGATCACTGCCCGACAGTACCCTCTGTCTGTGTCTCGCCCAACTCTGATTGACTGTCGTCTACTGGACGTCTGACTTTTCACTCCTCTCTTGCAGACAATAAAGGTATAGGTATTTTAAAACTAATCACAGTGGTCGGCTAGAAAGAGACAGAGGGAACTATCGGGCAGCAATCTCTCTTGTTGGCTCTATCGTGACATCAGGCCTCTTTTTCACTCTATGCTTATATCTCTATGAGAAAAGGCCTGCCCTGGCCTTCTATACTTAAAGAGATGTATTCTATATATTCTCTGCCTTCTCCCTTACCCTGCATATCGTTGTCAATTATAGGTTATAGGCTATCCGTAACCCTGACGTGCTTTATTCTAATATCTCTATGCTATGTATACAGATATACATTCTAGAGGAATCAGACCGACTAGTCGACCGACTGACTTTATAAAAAAGTTACCCATAGTCACTTTATTGGGTTAACTTTTTATCCTCTATCCATTGAACCAGGTGGCGGCTATTTTGCCATTTGACGCCCTGGGACTTTTTTAAGAGTTAACGTTTTTTTTTTTTTTTCAATGTGTCCAGTAAGCACCTCGGGTCACTTGGTGATAGGCCCTTGAATTATTAGTTAACATTTTATTAATTCATAAAGTAGCCAGTAAGTGCCCTGGGTCCTGAGTCATGGCGCTGGTAGTTATGCATCATATGTATACATCAGCGACAGTTCACAGTTTGACCAGCAGTGGCGTTGATAAAGAAGGGCTCTGAAGAAGGTTGCGGTTGGCCGTTGGCAGCAAACTTGACGTCGCGCCCAAGTGGCCAACGCTGAACGTAACTCGTTGTTAACAATAGATATCGCAAAAATACTTCGGATCTCCACGAATCATGAAGTCATGAGTTATTTTTTCATAGAGATAATATAAAGATTATATTAAGATAATATATTAAGTATATTATATTAAGATTATTTAATGATTAATTATATTAAGATAATGTAAAGATTATATTATCTCTATGGGTTTTTC